ACTATGATACTGTACCGAAAACGGTACACTATCCCACTAGGTAGACTATGATACTATACCGCACACGGTACACTATCGCCCTAGGTAGACTATGATACTTTACCGCACACGGTACACTATCCCACTAGGTAGACTATGATACTGTACCGCACACGGTACACTATCGCACTAGGTAGACTATGATACTGTACCGCACACGGTACACTATCGCACTAGGTAGACTATGATACTGTACCGCACACGGTACACTATCGCACTAGGTAGACTATGATACTGTACCGCACACGGTTCACTATCCCACTAAGTAGACTTAATACTGTACCGCACACGGTACACTATCGCACTAGGTAGACTATGATACTGTACCGCACACGGTACACTATTCCACTAGGTAGACTATGGTACTGTACCGCACACGGTACACTATCGCACTAGGTAGACTATGATACTGTACCGCACACGGTACACTATCGCACTAGGTAGACTATGATATTGTACCGCACACGGTACACTATCGCACTAGGTACACAATGATACTGAACCGCACACGGTACATTATGACACTAGGTAGACTATGATACTTTATACAACTTTTCAGTAAAATCAGACGTTTTGATTGGTTGGCTTTCGTGTGTTATCAAAGTATAGATAAACGGATTACGTCAATACTAATTGTTGTTGTATAAAACAAATAGATCTCATTTTTCCGTGCGTGTGTACTGTAATAGATACACAGATGACGTCAAAATGTAGCGAGAACTGCGTCTCGTGCGTACTTTTTTTGTTCTCACTAAATTTTGACGTCATCTGTGTATCTATTAGAGTACACACGCACGAAAAAATGAGATCTATTTGTTAAGTACCGGACACGGTACACTATCGCACTAGGTAGACTATGATACTGTACCGCGCACGGTACACTATCGCATTAGCTACACTATGCTGTACCGCAGTAGGTACACTATCAGGCCAGGTAGACTATGATACTCTACGGCACACGGTGCACTATCCCACTAGGTAGGCTATGATTCTGTACCGCACACGGTACTCTCGATCCAAACTTGATACGCCTTCAATACACTCGATCCAAACTTCATACGCCTTCAATACACTCGATCCAAACTTCATACGTTATTTTACAAATGCCCACTTAAACACACCTTAACTACGTGTGTTATAGGTGTGCTAAAGTGAGGATTTGAAATTTACCTTGAATGTGTGGATTTTTCGAACTTTTTCGAACTTTACTTTGCCTATGTTCTCAGTTAGTGAAAACGATAATAATATAAATAAATAATAATATAAATTTGTTTACATTATCAGTTTTATATTCAAAGTTGAACTCTGACATCTTATTTAAGAGACATATCATGTGGTGTCTGTACATCACCCTTCTAGCTATTTTACAAATCCTCACTTTAACACACCTTAACTACGTGTGTTATAGGTGTGTGAAAGTGAGGATTTGGAATTACCTTCAATGTCTACAATCCTGGACAAAAAGGTTGAGAGTAACTGCACTCTTCAGGTCAGTTCAAGAAAACATCCTCTCTACCCCCTCCCCTCCCCCAAAACAATGTTGTTAGCACTCAAACAGAATCCAGCAGGTATGTGTGCTCTTTAAAGTACAACTTTGAGCGAAGGGGGGCGGGGGGAGGGCAGAAAAAGAAAAAAAATATATGGAGACATTTCAACATTCTGCGATTTTTAAAACATTCTCAACTCTATTTGTCCAGGATTGTAGCTTTTTCTAGCTTTGTCACTTTGCCTATGTTCTCAGTTAGTAAAAATGATAATAATATTAATAAATAAAAATATTAATTTGTGTAAACTATCGAGTTTTTTTCAAAGTTGAAACTGTAGTTGAACACTGACATGTTAGTTAAGAGACACATTATGTGGTGCTTGTACATCATTCTTCTGGCTATTTCTCAAATCCGTGTRTTATAGGTGTGTTAAAGTAAGGATTTGAAAAATAGCTAGAAGAGTGATGTACAAATACCACAGTGTGTCTTAACTAAGATATCAATGTTCAGCTACAACTCTGAAGCTAAAACTGATAATTTACTTTAATTAATATTATTATTTATTAATATTATAATTATCATTATTATCATTATTA